AGAAGTTGTGAAAGCGCAAGTTAGTGCACACGGTGATGTAAGTGTCTTTTCAAATTTTTTCCGTAGCTATTTTGAATGCTCTTAACAAATAATCCATTTTATGGTTAAATTTTACAATTGGGACTCTTCTTTTGTCTTTAAAAGCTCATATATTAGAATTATAGATTCTTCCATCATGATACTATCGATAGTGCGGGCGCCGCCATCTTTCTTTCTTTCACCGTCGTTCCTAAATGCCTACAAACAGCAACGCACTCCCGTAGTAGCGGAGACGCAGAGTGACTGCTATTAACGAACGCGCCCCAAGATCCACCTTGAGCGTCAAAGTGACTCTGCTTAGTAGTGAGTCTCCAAGACATAGTCTTGTCCCAAATATGGTTTTGCTGTTTTACTTGTTTATTCATCACTAAGTTAAACTAATATTTTGTCTTATTTTGTAAATTCACCATGTACTAGCAGGAACTCGTCAAAATCAACGATTTTATTCAATTAAAATACAATCAATGAGTTCATTCAAAATTTGTCATTTTATGCAAAAATCATCAATATAGCAAATATTTTCCAGCTCCATGTATTTGATTTGCATCTGCTTGTTTCTGGTACCATGAGACAATTCTTTTCTTTTACAAATTTGCATCCAGGTCCTAGGATGGCAATTCAAGATGTGGATGTTTATTTCATTAAATTTTATACAGTTTATGCATTTATTTCAGAATGTTTCTTGTGTGACTTATTTCTGCTTATTGTATAAAGTGATACAGGTTTAAGGTGGAATTGACTTTTCTTTGGATGTCTGAAGAGGGAAGGGTGTTACAAAAACTAGGACAAGATGGGGAGAGAGAGTAAAAATTTCAAGGAAAATGCAGATGTAATTTATGGACAGTCCATAATAGTGAGTTTGATGTCATGTGAGTACTTTTCAGTTGGCTCACACGAGAAATAGTAAGCGACTGCATACATAAGGACAAAGAAAGAACACCAATTTTCAAAGATAGTATCATTCAAAAAATATACAGACTAGTAAATTAGAAAGGAAAGTGACAATTTTAAAAGGACCCAATAATTGATAAACCACCTAAATATTACTAAAAATACCTTTTTAGTACTTTTTCTATTAAAAATACTTTTTTTTTTTTTTTCACAAACATAAACTACAACATTAACAGGAGGAATATAATATCCTCCTCCCCTTTTTTTTTAATGTAACATTGAATCATAATGAATGAGAATTTTTCATACATCATTACTTAAAGACAGTTCTAATTTCACTGTGTGGAATTCTATTCATTTTTTCAGCGTTGCCTAACAACTTAAAAGTTTTAATTGAGAAATACATAAGAATATTAGGAAAAATGATCAACTCAATTATCTATCAATAAAGCCAAATACTCAGACATCACCTTTCCCAGTACATTGCTTATGACTGATATTAAATATTGTAATATTTGTGAAACTTTTTACTATATTATAATGTAAATGCACATAGTAAATACAAGACTCATCTGCAACTTAGGAGGAATTTTGTTGTAATTTACAATACAAGATGTTTGTGAATTTTTCTACTGGCCATTGACTCCACATAATTCACACTGGGGATACTGTTTATTCATAAAGCTCTTCCCTGTGATCTAAAACATGTGCAAAGCAAATTTAACAAAGTTCTGTCCATTGGTTCCCTCTGCAGAAGGCATTGTTTCTCAATCTGTGTTCTGCAAGCAGACTTAAATTAATAAAGATTAAAACTTTGTTTAATGATGATGTACTTTTAATAGTTTACTTCCAATTTAATTCATTATGTTATAAATGGCACAGCTGTGTCCCAAATATTGATATTTGCATAGGTTTAAAAAAATGAGACCTGCATAATTTAGTGGTCAGCAAAAATTTTTCAAACATTTACTGATCCTTCGGGTTTAAAAAGGTTGAGAAATGCTGGAATAAGGTAACTTTAATTTGAATCACCCTCTATTTGTCTTTAGTAAGTTAGTTTCCTGAAAAATCACAATGGTTAGGTGAATGTGTGTAGCAAACAGAAGGATTTTTCAGGGCTGTGGAGTCGCGTAAAAATCTACCGACTTCGACTCCGACTTTTCCTTACCGTCCGACTCTGACTAGGGGTGGACTTGTTACCGAAAGNTAGTAAGTTAGTTTCCTGAAAAATCACAATGGTTAGGTGAATGTGTGTAGCAAACAGAAGGATTTTTCAGGGCTGTGGAGTCGCGTAAAAATCTACCAACTCTGACTAGGGGTGGACTTGTTACCGAAAGAGACCCGAAAATTCTGATGTCATTACATGACCTCAGAATAAAAGATTCAATAAATAGAGTTTTAATAAAGATAGAATGTAGAAACTTTTTATTCGAAAGCTAAAAGACTCCTCTAAGTAATGACACAGTCAATATATAAATATGTATTCGATAATTTTTACTTTTCTGGCTGTTATATATAACAGAGGAAAAGTGTAACACTCGGTCAAAAAATGACCCCTCCCAAATTTTTACATTTTTGGACTCATATCANTTAGTAAGTTAGTTTCCTGAAAAATCACAATGGTTAGGTGAATGTGTGTAGCAAACAGAAGGATTTTTCAGGGCTGTGGAGTCGCGTAAAAATCTACCGACTTCGACTCCGACTTTTCCTTACCGTCCGACTCTGACTAGGGGTGGACTTGTTACCGAAAGAGACCCGAAAATTCTGATGTCATTACATGACCTCAGAATAAAAGATTCAATAAATAGAGTTCTAATAAAGATAGAATGTAGAAACTTTTTATTCGAAAGCTAAAAGACTTCTCTAAGTAATGACACAGTCAATATATAAATATGTATTCGATAATTTTTACTTTTCCGGCTGTTATATATAACAGAGGAAAAGTGTAACACTCGGTCAAAAAATGACCCCTCCCAAATTTTTACATTTTTGGACTCAGAACACCTTGAAATTTCAAGTTAATTAAGCAAAAGATTCAAGGTTTTTTTCTATATGTGTGGATGTTAGNTTTTTACTTTTCTGGCTGTTATATATAACAGAGGAAAAGTGTAACACTCGGTCAAAAAATGACCCCTCCCAAATTTTTACATTTTTGGACTCATAACACCTTGAAATTTCAAGTTAATTAAGCAAAAGATTCAAGGTTTTTTTCTATATGTGTGGATGTTAGACTGTGTGGGGGGGGCATGATTTTGTTCACCCTGTTTGAAGCCTAATAATTTCTGTGGTCAGAATCGGAATCAGATGGTTTAACATAGAAGTTAGTTATTAAGCGTCAAAGTAGTTGAATTAAATCATGTCCCCATACACATTCTAACATCTTAGGCGAGAACATCTTAATAGTTTTACTGTACTATTATAAAATGACAAAAAAGTTTACTTTAAGGGTAGAGACGAGTTTTACTTTTTATTTTTTAAATTTTGAACACTAATAATGAGTAAAATATTCATTAAGAGATATGACACATGACCACTTTTATGTCTTCACCCTGTCGACTTTTAATTAAGAACCAAAATTTAATAGTATTAATGCCCCTTTATACGCAAGCTACAGTGCCACATTTTGTTTCTTAAACTTTACCTATTTTGAGATATTGTTTAATATCTCAGAAAAGAAAATAAAGAAATTAAACAAATTAGATGCCAACACACACACAATTTTTCCTTTTATTGACTATTTTGAGGGGTTCGGGAGGTCTCCAAACATATAGCTTTGTAAAAAAAAAAAAAACTTTGAGGGTCAAATTTGGCACAATTCCAATACTTTTTCGTTTTATATACATAACAAGTTGGTAAGTAAAAAGGAGTCGAGTCAGCGGATTTTTTTATGACTCCGACTCCTGCTAAAACACCAAAACTCTCCGACTCCCACTCCACGGCCCTGGGATTTTTCACGTTTTCTAAAGACACTTGGTGACTTGTTTGTAATTGTGTAGATATGATGAGTTTAATAACTGCAAGTTTAAATTGTCAGATAGTGTTTAAAAGCAAGCTTGGCTTTTAAATGTGATAATCCTTGGATTAGCCACATGAAATTATAATACATATCTTTCATTAACCATTCAGCAGTGAAGGATGGATATATATGTCTAGGGCAGGGGTCGGTAACCTTTTGAGTCGGAAGAGCCAAAATTACAATTTACAAAATTTCAAAGTTTTTAAAGAGCCACAAAATTTTTTCTTGCCAGCAATAAATAGTACTCGCATAAATAAAGTCTTTTGATAAAAAAAACTAATCTGTTTATTCATAAGAAAAAATATCTATTCATATATAAGTAGTGTTTTTCACAACAAATTAGATAATAGAAACATCCGACGACGGCGTCATTCGAGAGCTTCCAACGGACTGACGACAATGACGCCGCATGTCACGAGGGAGGGGTGCGGTGAAAAGCGAGTACAAGTGGCTGAGATAGAATCGGTGCCGAATCCTCGTTAATCGATTCAGAACGATTTTTAAATGTTTTTTTTTTTTTTTGATAAAATAAATAATATTTGCATATGGAACTAAAGAGCCACAGCTTCACATCCAAAGAGCCGCATGTGGCTTGCAAGCCGCAGGTTGCCGACCCCTGGTCTAGGGTGATCATGTGGCAGTGGTGAAGGATGGATATATCCATTAAATTCTTTTGGGGTATCACCAAAAACTACAGCGAAAAAAAATTCACATAAAAAATGAATTATGTAAAAACAAAAAAAGACTATTCTTTACTAGACATAACTGTTTACAAAATCTTTTTCCGAAATGGTAATGAGAAAAAACACGTGAAAAAATACTGTAAAAATTTCCCACGTTTATTCTCCACTACTTTGGGATAGCACCATACCTGACTATTCCACTGTTGAAAGATCAAAGCATATTTTCTGGGAAGAGATTATTTTTTTAAATGACAGAATGAACAATTTCAAGAAAGGTTACTTTTTAGTATTTATTATTATTAGTAAGCATTATATAACTTAAATACAATTATAATAGTAAAGTAGTTATTTAACAAGGTTTCTTTTTATAGCTAAAACACCTGCGAAGTCAGCAGAGGTAAAGCAACCAGAGAAGAAGGTTGCTCCAAAGTCACCTTCAAAGGAAAAGACTGACAAGATAAAGCCTAAAAAGGATTCTCTACCTGTTTCAAAGGCTAAAACTAAAGCATTGTCAGCCAAAAAAAAAATAGTGAAGGGAGTACATGGAACACGCAGGAGGAAGATCAGGACTTCTGTCCGTTTTCGTCGTCCTCACACACTAAAATTGCCCAGACATCCAAAATATCCCCGAAAGAGTGTTCCTCATAGACCAAGGTTTGAATTATATATTTTTTAAAATAAATTCAAAAGCATACGAAATTACTAATAAACTGATTTCAGATTGGATCAGTACTCCATCATTAAGCATCCTTTGACTACAGAATCTGCAATGAAGAAGATTGAAGATAACAATACTTTAGTGTTTATTGTTCACTTGAAAGCAAATAAACCTCAGATTAAAACTGCTGTCAAAAAATTATATGACATTGATGTCCAGAAAGTAAATACACTTATTAGGTATGTAATCTTAATACATATGTACAAAAAATGTTTATTTTTTGATTCTTAATTATTTTTGTTTAACAATTTCCATCTTCAGACCTGATGGACAGAAGAAAGCTTATGTACGATTAGCACCAGATTATGATGCTTTAGATGTTGCAAACAAGGTTAGAAATGCTTAAAAATTTTAATATTAATCAAAATCATTCTAGAATGTAGTTAATGTTTGTATTTCCATTTTTTATGGTAACTGAAGGATTTTAAATTCCACTTGAAATTGTTTACCTACAAATTGAGAATCTAATTAGATTGATTTATAATATACGTTCTTGATTTGCAGTGAAATAATGTTTAATAAAATGACTGTTTGAATTTATTTATTGATTAGGTCAGTTTTTGAAGTTGAGTTAGCCACTTAATGAAGTAGCTAATAGGAATAAGTGTTCAGGGAAATATGTATTTTTAACTTAAGATTGCCATAATTACAAACAACACAGGAAAATTATGAATGTATATTATATTGTTTTGGAATTATATCTGATAGTTATCATAGTTTGAAAGAAAGTTGAGATTAATTATACTAATTCATAAAGTACAGGTTTAAAATGAGTTTATGAAGAGAAACCATAATAAATTTCAAAAAGTTTTTATTTTGTTGTTTCATTAGTGAATCTTCATTTTTATTTTACATTGGATACATAAATTCTAATGAACTGTGCATTACAATTATCAAGAATTTTTTAAATAAGTAATACAATTTTCTAGTTTTGGATGGAAAATTGTCTTGTAAATATTTTTGAGAAAATGAAATAATTTCTGCTAGTTGCATTTTGATTTACTTCTAGTTTACAAGGTAGCAGAACAAATTCAAATAGTATTATATTGAATAATACTATTTGAAATATTTTATAATAATTACAATAATTAGCTATAATACTGTTATTAATATAAGTTTCAGTTTTATCTGGCAAAATTGTAATTTTTTTTATATTTATAAATGCTTGTATAGTTATGAAGGCTTGAGTTTGTTGTTCTTTGCACATCTAATTTAGCTTTTTATTTTTCAGATTGGTATCATCTAAATGTGAAAATTGTAAGATTTGAAAAATAAAGAAATTTTGGAAGACAATCTCATTTTTATTTTAATATAAGTTCATTATCATAATCACATTTAAGTATTTGTTGAAAGATAGCTTTATTTTTTTTTTTTAGTATTTAGTCTGTTTGCCATCAATACTACTGTTCTGTTAGAAAGCACCCAAAAGCATCCATGTTTGGGTTTTATTTTCTAATACGAATTTTTAATATGATAGTAAAGTATAAAGTAAAGTAAAGCCCAACCATTTTGTAAGATTTTTAGAATTACATGAGTATCTTATGTAATTCTAAAAATCTTGTCCATATAATAAGTGAGAAAAAATCTCCAATTGGTACAATGAGTTCTTCACTTATTAAAGATGAGCGTGGTAGTCTTATCACTACCACACTCATCTTTCTCCAGTTCAGCCACCACTCAACACTCTTCACCAAATTTCTGCACTCATTCCTCCATCACTTGCTACATATGATCCAAGAGACTTAAATTTGGAAACTTATTAACTTTTTACCTTATATATAACTCATCCCTTCTACCAGATACCATATATACTGTTTTTGCTCTGCTGATCATGCTTCTTCCAACACTTTTCTCCATTCCTCCAACTTCTTCTGTACCTTATGATATTTTTCACAGCACAATGTCATTTGCTAATAGCATACTTATGGTGCCTCTTGCTTTTCACCTCTTTCAACCAATACATCCATCAACGAATTAATGGGCTGAGCCCTGTTACAGTCCAACTCTCACAGTGAATCTCTCTGTTATACCTACACTGCTTTACTTGAGTCGTTACTCCTGTATACATTTCCTTTACAAGTCTTACATTATTTTCTGGTATTCCCTTTACCCTCGTACATCATATCTTCTCTCTAGCCACCCTGTTGTATGCTTTCTCCAGGTCTGTGAATACCATGTGCGGTTCTACCTGCATATATCTACCTTTTCATCAGCAGCTTTAGAGCAAAAATCTATTGTTCCTCACCTATAGCTGTCTCTTGTCTTAACCTTCCTTCCACAAATTTCTCCCTGATCTTCATTTGAGTGTGATATCAATTTAATTTTCACATTCTTGCACATCTTTTCCTTTATAAAGTGGCACCAAAATATTTTACCTCTGCCCAACCCAGTATCCTTTCTTGTTTCCGTAGCTTTTTCATAAGATCAAATATAATCAACACCTTCACCCAAATTTCTCCATGCCTCAGCTGGGATCTGATCAGCTCCTGTTGCTTTCCCTTTCATTTTTCTAAGTGCCCTTTCCACCTTGCATACACCTGTTGCTACTCCTTCATTTACTAGCTTCCTAAAATAATTCCATCTTTCCTTTATCATCTCAGTCTTGTAATACTACCATTCTCGTCTTTTATCTGTTTTATTGATGTGAAATGCTTTGATGCCTTGTCCTTTGCTTTTGCAATTCTTATCAGTTGCTTATCCCCATCCTTTCTTACCAGTTCCTCATAGGCCTTATCCACTGCCTTTGCTATTGCCACATCCATTTTGCCTTTTTGCTTGCTGTTGTATGTTTACCATCCTTGTTACCCATTAAGAGTTGGCAGCAGTGAATCCGTGAGGACATAGGTGGAGGGTAGACAGGCTCCATAAGCATCTCAGACTGCCATTCCTGGTGGTTTGTCTGAATAATAGTCTGATTATAAATAGGATGGCCTTTACACAATGCCTAAGAAGAAAGACTGTTTGGGGTAACCCCCGCACACCCTGTTTACCCGTGCTTTCCGTTTTTTATACATGTGTAAATAAAAAACGGAAAAATAAATTTGGCGATGCGTATAAGACCTTCAAGCGAGCTGAGAAAGACGCGGGCGTCGGCACTCGGTCGAAGCAACTTGCAAAGAAAACGGCTTTTCTAGGGGTCAGCAACTGTCTGCTTCCAAATTTTAACTCCAACCTCTTCTACCTCGCCAGCTGCACATGCAACTTCCGTCCAGTTAAAAGAATTCGGCCGAAGTCCGAAGATGATTGGTTAGACCTTTCATCCCTGCCATGCCCTCGTCCAATAAACATTTGTGACCATTTTAAACGCCTGTGAAATTCTTTGGTCTTTTAACGAAGAAAATGGCCTAAGTGGTGTGGGCAATTTGGAAACGTTAATCAGCTTCCACAATTCATTCGAAGTGATAACTGAACTATTTTTGTACACATTTTTCATCACACTCCAAAAAGGACAAATCGATGTCCGGCGCGAGGTGATGGAGGACAGAGTAATCAAATGCCTGACAATCCGGCGAAAAGCCGAACGTCTGGCCACCCTAATTATAAGACGAGTACGAACACCTGCAATGGCATTTCTCGCTTTCAGATGGGAGCCTCGCAACAGAACTTTCTTAACCTTAACCACTAGGCTATCCAGTCGCCAATTGACGGAATCTGCCATTTTGTCTACGTCATGCACACATTACATGGTCTTAGGGCCGGATGGTCGAGAGATATGTAAGCTACCGCTCTGGGGACCCAGAATCGAATCCGAACGGGTGAAAATCTCCAGGAATTTGTTTGGGATGTTCGATCCCTAATATGTCCTTCATTTGGATCAGCCCAATTGTGGGCTTAAGCGAACAAATAATGTGTTCGATACAAAGGTTCTTGGTTAGGGTTGCCAGATACTTTGTACAAGTGAGTAGCCTACTTCCCGAAAGTTACTGGGACGCTTTAATTCCAGTATATCAAAAGATGTGTATTTTTAATTTGCTAGTGACAGAAATACATTTTAAATGTGAAAAAAGATACTGTAGAAACAGTTTTTAGAATTAAGTTCTCCCGTCGCTAGATGACAGTCGGAAAACCGGAATATCTGGTAACCTACTCTTGTTACCCACGGAGCGGAGTTTAAAAAAAACTACTCAAGCCAATTTTTCCAGCAGGCCAATCACGACGTCATAACCACACGTTATTTTTGACCGGTTTTAGCGGGACCTTGCGACTTAGCGTGTACAGAACAATTTTCAGATAGATCCGTAGTTCGCATTCAACCATGGTTTGTGACAAAAGCTCATTTGAGATCGCAATAAAAATTTGACTAATTGACTACTTAAAAATTCCCGGTTTTATACAACTCGTTTTTTTCCAGAAAATTTATATTATTTACTAAACTATGAAAATTAAAGTTTTTGAAAAAGCATATGAACAAGTTGCGGTATCTGTTTACAAATGTAAATACAAATTATTAAAAGAGATAAGAATTTTAAAATAATCTGGGCCAATTTTGATTTAATTAGACCGGAATGAAAAGAAAGTTAAATATTCTTTACTTAGGGACAAATTTTCATTATTGAAGGTTTACAGAATTTGCCACAAAGTTTAACGCTATAGATATAAGAAGCCATTTTACTTTAAATCTTTTCATAAACTGAAATCAAAGCATAATGTGACATTTTAGTTATAGTTGCTACCTTTTTATAACATGACTATACCTTATAGCAGGCATGGCCAACATACGGGCCGGATCCGGCCCGTCTAATGAATTTATGTGGCCCGCGATCAATCTTTCAATATTAGCTACTCAAGTCCGAATAGCTCGATGAAAACTTCTGACGCCTAACAAAAAAAAAGTCAACTCGTGCGTTTAGAGTTAACCCTCCATTACAAATCTCGTAAGTACAGCGTAGAATGTTGATAAAATATGATAATGTGAAAAATGTATCTGTAATCTCTAATTTAGTCTCTACGGGGTGACACCACAGGCTAAAATTGAAAGAGGGGGGTCTTCTGGTATCACTCGTAGGTATAACCAAGAAGGTAGGAAAGAACAGAAGGTAGGAGAAGAGTTGCAAAGAGTAGGGGATGAAATTGGGGCAGGAAAAGGTGGGAGCTCATGGCGCCTGCAACGCATTTATTTAGAAATAAAATACAAAATAGATACATAAAACAGTGAGATCTCGCACCATCTCAAAATCTTCCTATTACAGCCTCTGGTTCGGCCCGTGGAAAAAGTTTTCTTTCCAATTCGGCCCGGGGGCAAAAATTGTTGGCCACCCCTGCCTTGTAGGCTACGTGTAAAATCGAAACTGTGTCAACGAATATTACAATATCAACAAAATTCCAGTCAGTAACGGCTCTAGGATTTTCATTCCGGGAAGAAAGAGTTTGGACAAAAAATTATTTTAATGGGGGTGTTATCTGCATATTTTATCATCAGACAAGCTAATTTTTAAAATTTAGCGATCGATTTTCAGTAAGACAAATAAGCGGAGAAAGTTTAGTGAGAATATGTAATCTAATCTCAAGGCGAACAATCAATTCATATTTAAAGAATCTCATAAGGTTTCTTTAAATTGAATAAATTAAGAAATTCCAAGTTGGGCAGAAGGATGGACGCAGCGGAGTAGCGTGGGTGTCAGCCACCCGGGGCGGAGTGGAGGTAAATTTCGCCATCCTGTTATTTAGGTATCTCAATTTAAAAGACTAAAATTCAGTTTCGTATCAGAACAAGTAATGAAAATTTCCTTGCCAGTGTAGCCACCTGTTTAAAATAGCTCCATTGGATATCGGAGGTATATATGAATACAAATGAATCGTACAAGCAAAAAAAAAAAAAAACATGAAAGGTCGACAGGTCGCGCAATGCATCCCCGGACGGCGAGTCAATTCCCGGATTCCGTGCTCATTTCAGTCGGTCCGAATCGTAGGTGGGACGAAAATATGGGATAAAATGGAAATGGTTCAAACTTTTACAAGATATTATTTATTGTGAAATTTTGCCGCACCCACTACGCTACGCCACTGGATGGAGGAAAAGATTTTAGGATAGGCTTGCGCCCACCTCGCCTCATCTTAACGCAGTCCATGTCCCCAGAATTTTCTCAAACAGTAGCTCAAACATTCCGTTCAACTGAGACCAATTCAATTCGATCTACTGAAATGGTGCATATGGTTGCCGCCTGTGAGACACCACTACATGAGACAACCCGTGATTAGAAATTGAATGGCAAGAACATGAACCCTGTATTTTCTGAGACTTCTATGAGAAGGATACAAGATTCCTGATACAGTTTTATTTTTCCACGAAAACA